ATTTAGTTTTCGTAGTTTTAAAAACTACCTAACCAATTTGACTTTTTTTTTTCTTTTTAAAGTTCATTGTAAAGGACTCTGTTGAAGAAAATATGCTGAAAATACAAAACAAAAAGAGAGAACTTGCAGCAGGAGCCTTTGGAACTAAAAAACCAAATGCTGACGAAATGAAACAAGCTAAAATTAACGAAATCAGAACATTAATTGATTTATAATTTGTGGGATTTTAGTAAGGTCAGTTTGATTGGATACTTAAGTTTTAGAAATAAGAAAAACAGTTTTAGAAATGAGATCTAGAGAACATGTTTTCTAAAAGGGGCATATTGTTTTATATTAGTGAAGAGGTATTACTGACACAGTTTCTTCTATATATGAACATATTTTTAATGAAACTTCAAGTAGCAATAAGTTCTGTTATATACTGTGGCCTAAAATAATTTTTTGAGAAAAATGTTACTTTGTTATTCATCTTTATAGTATCTATGCTGAGTATTTTCATATATCTTCCAAGTACTCAGCTTTTTCGTATTTCAAATAAGGTCAGACCTTTTATACTTTTGACCAAATAATTATTTTCTATGTTGGACACGTAGTTATTCACCAAAGCCTCCAATTTGTGATGCAGTGTTTGTAGTCCTTGTAAACAATATTATGAACTATAAAAGGATTAATTTTATTGGGCTTTCAAAAAACATATTTGCATTCTAGAACCAAATCTTAAAAGAGACCAAAGTCCGGGTTAGCAGAGTTTTTTTTTTTCTCTACAGTACATTGAGATATGGTTCACATAAATGACTTGGAGTTTTATGTTTATGAAAAAATTAGAGATAATGTTAAGAGTACTGTTTCTCCATTTTAGTTAAGTGGTACTACACTCATTGTTTAAATGTAACTTGCTGTGTCTAGGATGTAAATATAGTCTGTGGGAGTGAGAGGCAAACCAATCCTACCCAATTTGATTGGAATATTTTAAATTATGGAACTGCTAAATAGATATTTCTATATATAATTTTTATTTATGTAGCTTTTTTTGGAAGTAACTTTATAAATTTTTATAATTCAGAAGACTACTATATATGAGAGGCGTGATATCTGGATGGAAGTTGGGCTGGATGATCTCCAAAGTCATTTCAACTCTTAAAGACATCTTAATCCTGAATGTAAAAATTGGTTATGTGTTTAGAATCAGAATTTGATTTTCAACTTCAGTAATTCATCATTACATCTATCTATACAGTTAGTCTTTTTTTTTTTAAACCTTTTTGTTAATAAGCAAACTTAGTTGCTGCAGCATTCTGGGTGACTCCTGAGTCATATTTAAAATAAACAAGCTAGAAATTTAGCAGTCAGATTAGGTAGGTGGTTTTATTTCAAAGGGAAACTTTAATCCAAAGAAAGAAGAGATTACTCTAACAACAGAAGCTTCATGTTTGATGGTACAGATTTAAGAATACTTGAGATTTTAGAGTGTTGGAAGTGATTCGATAGAAAGATGGGATTGGGCCGGGCGCGGTGGCTCAAGCCTGTAATCCCAGCACTTTGGGAGGCTGAGGCGGGTGGATCACGAGGTCAACAGATCAAGACCATCCTGGTCAACATGGTGAAACCCCGTCTCTACTAAAAATTACAAAAAAGTTAGCTGGGCACGGTGGTGCGTGCCTGTAATCCCAGCTACTCAGGAGGCTGAGGCAGGAGAATTGCCTGAACCCAGGAGGCGGAGGTTGCAGTGAGCTGAGATCGCGCCATTGCATTCCAGCCTGGGTAACAAGAGCGAAACTCCGTCTCAAAAAAAAAAAAAAAGAAAGATGAGATTGGAGACAATGTTGTGTTATAGGGTGCACATTTAAGATATACGCCAAATCTCTCACTAGCTAAGTCCTTTCCTCCCTGTGCCCTGTTTTCTTGCTCAAAAGGAACAGTGAATTAGCCAGCTAGTAGCTTCCTGGTCCCTTTTTGAGGCAGTAGCAGATGAGGAAAGGGCTGCTTTTCATCAAAACCAAGACCTTTTTGCAGGGATGATGATGGAATAATAATTTGGGATTAGCCTAACATTAGGAACAGTAGGGAAGTTACCTGGTAGATCAAGCATTACACACAAAAAATCAAGTTAATCAGAATATGGGTTCTTTGTATAACAATACTTCACTGAGATTAAGGATAAACAGTTTTCGGCAAAAGACAACACTTTTTTGCAAAAAGACACAATCTACTCTTCATGCTTTCAAAGACAAAGCTTTACAAATTCACTACAAAGCTAAAGGGAGGACAGCTTGCTTCATTACTTAGATATTTACAAAGTTGTTTTTAAAACACATTCATAAGTTTGGCAGATTGTTTAAAAAATGTCTTTTTGTTCTGTACAGTTCCATTACATATTGTTAAATTTGAAAAGTTTAATTAAAAAAATTGAAGTTGTCCTTCCTAAGAAGGATATATAAAAAAGCCACTGGAATGAAAACTTCATATTATGCTATGCTGTTGTTTTATTATTACATAGAAAAATAACTTTAGAAAAATATTGAAGACATTGTATTACCACTTGTGATTCAAACTGAATTTTGTGGTTCAAACTGGATTTTAAATTGAAACATCAATAAAAATTTCAAATGTTTATTATGTTCCTCAGTGCCTTAATTTTGAGTTTATCTTCAAAGAAAATATTTCATTAATTCTTACATTTCTATGTGTTCCTTTTTTTTTTAATTGTGAGTACACAAAGATTACTGTAGCAGAATAATGTACTCATATCCTACCTTTATTGTGCTCAGTTTAACTGGTTCAAATTCTTGTTCAGAAATCAGAGTGGTTATTTAAAATACTTTGATCTAAAAACATTGGTTCCAATCAATTTCCTCATCTGGAAGAAAAAAAGGAGTTGTGATAGTACCTATATAATACAAAGGTAGCACTCTGAATCATTGTATATTTTGTTCTTAAAATTACAGCTTTTCAACTGGAAATAGTAATCAAGAAACTAATCCTGTGTAGTTTGTTACCAGTTTAGTACTAATAAAATTATCTTAGGCAGTGTATGCTTTGTTTTGGGGACTAGCAAAGCCATTGCTGTATATTTTTTCTTGTTTTATTTATAGTACTTGCCAAGGTTTATGCATTAGCATTTGGATGAGATTCATTAAAAATATAAGGGTATATTTGATGTTTGGCTCTTAACAAGAACTCAAATTATGTGTTAACCTCAAGTTAACACATTAACTTCAAAATATCTGCAAAAGGTGTTATACAGCAGGACAGTATGGGCATAAGGAGAATTAAGGTAAACATTTACTTTATGCGTAAACCATAGCTCCATCTGCCATGGAGTTAATCTCCAAAAGCATGGATTTGACCTCTGCTGTGGGCGAGTTTGTCTTAAAACCAAAGGTCATACCTACCATTGCAAGCGGTAAGTATATGTGGATCACCTCCGCAATATGTCTTGTAATTTGGGTTACCTTTTTATACATTTTACTAAGTAACCCTTAGTATTCTGGACCCCCTAGAAAAGATTTCCCAGTATTTGTATAGCTTTACATGAAAAGTTAATACCTCACCTTAAAACACAGATCACAGAAGGAAAAGAATCTGTTAGTTCAGTGATTTCCTAGCCAAATAACTTGACAGCATTATTTGCTATGTCTTATGGTAAGCCTGTCATTCTTTCTGATTCCAAAAGTTAATAGCCTTCACTAAATACTTAAAATGTTGAAATTATATAGGCTTTTCACCTTAGAACTTTCTGATATGCTACTGTATAAAAAATAGAGAATGAGGCTCAGTGGCTCATGCCTGCAGTTCCAGCACTTTGGGAGGCCGAGGTGGGCGGATCACGAGGTCAAGAAATCAAGACCATCCTGGTCAACATGGTGAAACCCCATCTCTACTGAAAAAAATACTAAAATTAGCCAGGCATGGTGGTGCACACCTGCAGTCTCAGCTACTAGGGAGGCTGAGGTTGCAGTGAGCTGAAATTGCACCACTGCACACCAGCCAGCCTGGTGACAGAGTGAGTCTCTGTATCCAAAAAAAAAAAAAAAAAGAGAATGAACAGTAGTAAATAGAAAAAACTAATATTGAATGGCTATAAAAATAAGACATTTTTTATCTGAAGACTGTTTCTGTTCATCTTAACCAGGGACTCGGAAGCCAGAAAGACTTCTGACTAGCCAAAATTATTTTGAGAAGTCTTTGTACCACAGTACCTGATACATGGAGGCACTTAAATCTTTGGTACATGTTTCATTGTACTTGAAGATCAATAGAGACATATTTTTCACAGTCCAATTAGCTAGTTTATTTTCATAAATCATTTATTCATTTACTATAATTCTAGGTAAATCCTCAGATTCTTCTTGAGCTCCTACGATAACAGACTTCAAGGCCCCAACCACTCTTGACTTAAGCTGTCTATATGGTTGTGTATTAATTCACATCAGTCTGAATAAGGAGGGTGAACTTGAAGGCTAGGTCACAAAAGCTACACATCATTTGCCCAATCAAACCTCTCACGTTTCTTCCTTTCATGGTTAACTGTCCTTTTTTTCTTCTACAGAATCATTTGACTACTCATTTTAGTTTTAAAAGGTCAGCTTGGATCTTACCCTTCTCTAGCTTACCATCTCTTACAACCTAGAATGGTCTATAAATTTAATAAATATGGTTTTCCATTCTGTCATTTTAAATCATAGTGTTGATTCTCACAGTTATGAATGATTTCAAGGTTAAAATACTCTAAATAGCTAAATACCCATTTAACAGGGAGGTACAGTATGGATGACACTATGTACGTTTGATATAAGTTTGTTCTGATCTGTCAGATCCATCACCATCACAGCAAAACAATTAGATTGAAATCATAGATACCAGTTTTGAAGCATATATCCCAGTGTCAACCTTTACACTGTTTTTTGAAGCTGACAAATTCCAAAAATTATGAAAAATTCCCTAATAGGTTTTTTCAAGGGTGTGTGGTGAGATTCCTTAATTTAATTAAACAACCAAGATACGACTATAAGTCTTTATTTTCCATACAAGGTGCCATTGCAGGTAACCATCAGAGAATACACTGCTATTTTCAAATATACAGAACTGAACAAAAGCATTTTAGCATGCTGCCTTACTGTACATAGAAAACTGGTGAACATCTTCAGATGCTAAGACCAGGAAATAAAATGGGTTAATGCTATTTGTTGATAGTTTATGAATCACTCAGCAGTGTTAATATAGGCCATCTTTACCTGAAAGCAGAATTACAATCACTCATTCTGGCAGCACTGGGCAATTCTAAAATGCAGTTCTAGTGAAAGGTAGGCACAACCAACAAGCAAGCAAGGAACAGATGCCATGTCTGCTTCTGAAGGGAGTGACTGATTTGGAACCAGGCTCTGCAGATTTTAATAAATGATACAGCCATTTTAATAGCTTAATATTGAGTTTCCCTTACTTCGTATGTTGGCAGTCAACAAAAGTAAGAATTTCTGAAACAAGCTAAATAGGATTAAAAAGCAGAACACTGTCCATATAACAGAACTGCTGCTTTACAACTTTTGCCCAGTTCTCACACAAAAAGCTCTCATCTGATAAGTTTTAGTGAAAACTCTAGCAAATGTAACAGACTTTTCTCAACCCAGCTCTAGATACTAAGTATCAGAAAGAAGGCTTGTGAAGTGGATGTGTTCACAGGAAAATGCAGTGTTTCTACTGGAGGTAAGTGTCAAGTTTCCTCTTGATGTTGTCAAAGGAATCTGCTCCCATATAATCGGCCTGGCCTTGTTCCCACCGCTCCTTCCGTTCTTCCGAGGATACAAAAGGCTGTGCCATAGCTGGGATCTCCCCAAGGGACAGATGTGATATGGCTCCTGAGACATCTTCCTAGAAAGGAAAGCATAACTGACACTATGAGAGCTGAAAATCAAACCATTTTAAAGAATGCAATATATTGAAGACAGTGAGAAAAGCCAGGATGAATCATCATGCAAAGTAGCAAAAACTGAAACGTATTACATGAAACAAACAAAAAAGACACAAAAATATAAAGATTATATGATTTTTTTCCTAACGAAATGAAGACTTCTTGACTCAGTGAAAACATTGGGAGAACAAAGTAATTAGGGTTAATGTTTAAGTTCTGCATACCTTTCTACAGAAGCCACAAGAGAAAGCCAGTGTATAGACCAAGTCTGAAAGCTGCAAACAGTTCATTAGAAAGTGTAAGATGGATAGACAAGGGAACACAAGTCTCAAGATAAATTCTCAATCTGTGTGGGCTCTGAAAGGTTGAGAACTTAAACAAAATGATACCCCACAGGCTACATTTCCTAACTAGAGAGCCGCAACACATACAGTTATAACATTATAAGAAAAGTTAAACTGGTTTGAGACTATGTACCAAACTTCTCTGCTTGTTCAAGCTTTCATTTGGATTACCAAGTATCATCCGTTCTTGTAGCTTCTGTTAATTTGCTTAGTTTTGAACAACTTTCAGTTCCCATTTTCACCTTTCCTTGTTTCATAATTCTCAGCCCTCATGTTGCAGAAGGAACAGCGTAAACGTGCAACAAACAGAGCAGACCTGGCCTACATTAAATTTGATTCTCATTACATCTAGATAGGTGATCTACTTCAAATGTACCATAAAAGAACACCAATGCTATCCTTCAAAAAGTGCTAAGGTGCAAAGGTACTGGAAATCTTAGCAGAGAAAAAGGAAGGTAAATGAATTGCTTTTAACAGAGAAAATGGTGGAAAAAACGTTTTGACTCCCTGTTTTTGTTACTATATATATGTAAGCATATAGGTATGTATTTAAATACAATGGAACTTTAAGGTGTTTGAGTACAGGACTGCATTATAGTTGAGGCAACATAAGGAATTCCTTCCATTGGATTAGTCCTGCCTTTGCCTTGCACTTGGCAACAGTAATGATACAGAGAGGCAATTCCAGAGTCCTCATTCACAACAGGGGGGCTATGAATTTACATCCTAAAAGAGATGTTTCTGAGGTCAAGCCAAGTATACTGGGCATAACTTAAAACAATTTAGCATTTAAAGTGTAACTCTCCCTTTCCCTGCCATAAAAGGTACTATCATAATTCTGGGCTGTAGATTACTACTTTTAAGCATGGTCTATCTCAAATATTCATAAGGATAAGTCTCTCAGACTTGGGTTTGAGGCCCATTCTGCTACTTGACTAGTCTTACATAACTAAGCCAAGTTATGTAACTTCTTTAAGCCTCGGTTAATTTATCTATAAAAGGAGAGATTAATACTTAATATACTTAACAGTACTTATAAAAGGAGATATTAATACTTAATATACTTAACAGTACTTACTAATAGTCTTTAATATGGTGGTTTTAAGGATTAAATAAGAATAGCTAACTTTCATTAAGCTTTTACTATGTGCCAGATGGTATCAAGTACTGTATGACAGGGGTCCCCAAACCCCAGACCACAGACCAGTAGTGGTCCATGACCTGTTAGGAACCGGGCTGCACAGCAGAAGTTGAGTGGCAAGGAAGCAAGAATTACCACCTGAGCTCTGCCTCTTGTCAGATCAGTGGTGACACTGGATTCTCATAGAAGTGTGAACCCTATTGTGAACTGTGCATACAAACGATCTAGGTTGTGTGATCCTTTTGAGAATCTAATGCCGATGATCTGAGGTGGAACAGCCTTATCCTGAAATCATCCCCACACTGGTCCATGGAAAAACTGTCTTCCACAAAACTAGTGTCTAGTGCCAAAAAAACCGTTACTTAATATTTAACAGTAATTTACTGGATGTTCATATTGTGGTTTTCACTGAAAACACATTGGGGACCACTGCTGTACAAATATGCCATGATCCATATAAAGTACTCAGGGTAAGAATGCAAGTCTTAGTTCTTTCTTGCTTTCTCCTTTCTATATTTTAGTAAATGCTCATAAGTGAAATGACTAAAATCTACACCACAGAAGAGAAAAATCTCCCATATAATCTCTTATAGCCAGGTGATTAAATGATTATCTGATTATAATTCACCCATTCTGTTCTCTTATTTATATCTTAATATGTAACAGTTATTTACTGTATGTTCATATTTTGGTTTTCACTGAAAACACATTCTTCTAAGCAGATGGCAAATATAAAGTAGATACATCTAAATGTTTGCAGTTCCTAAAATATCCAATGGGGTGTTATTTTTATAGATCACTACTTTAGGAATAAATCTCAAAATCTTTTCAGAGGAGAATGGGCTAAGAATTTTAGAGTTAAAATATATGGGTATATATACAAAATTCTAAAAAACTATGTTCTCAGATCTAAAGAAATCTGCCACACAGTTTATGTCTGCTACTTCTTTGGTGGTAGTGTTTCTCCACTCTAAGATGGTTATTGTTTTCTTTCCACAAAACTTTATTTATCTCTGTTTAAAATGCTGCTAAATATTCCCCATCTCTATTGATTCAACAAGTGTTTTAAAAGCAGCATTAAATGATCTAAAGAAAAGAAACAGAACCTACCACATTTACATATGAGCAGGTGTCTTTGACAAGGCCAAATTGTTGAAGCAGAGGTAAAACGTTGGTGGTAAAGATGTTCCACCACAAGATAAGAAACTCTGGATGAGTCATGTTGGGATCATGGGACTCACTTTTGACACTTTTTGTTTTGGGATCGTAAGTATAATTCCATGGTTTGACTCTTCCCAGGAAATGCACAACTTTCGCACTTGCACCAAACCTGCCAAGTGAACACAAGTTGAAACAGTCAGTGGATTCTGAGTACTGAAAAAAAGATAAGCAGCACTTAACAGCACTTTTATCTGTAGCTTGCTTTTTTTCTTTTTTTTAAGAGACAGGGTCTTACTGTCACCGAGGCTGGAGTGCAGTAGCATGATAGCTCACTATAGTCTTGAACTTCCCACCTTAGCCTCCTGAGTAGCACAGGCCACCATACCTAGCTAATGTTAATTTTTTTTTTATAGAGACAGGGTACCCAGCCTGGTCTTGAACTCCTGGCCTGAAGTGATTTCTCCCACCTTGGCCTCCTTGTTCTGTGGCCTGAACAGCGTACTTTCCATCCTGCAGTACAGGTTCAAAAACAAACTGAGTTCACTGTGAAATTGTGAGACAGATACTTTTAAAAGTATTCATTCAGTTGTGTGTTACATACATATAAAAAATGTAAATGTAATACTGGTTCATTGCAACACTGAAGCACCAATCTATTGTGGCCAGAACAGGCACAACACTTGAAAAGTATTTGGTATTACCTAGTAAAGTTAAAAATGCTCAAGCTGTACAACCCAGCAGCTTGGCTCCTAAGCACATACCCTAAAGAAACTCTTATATATATGCAACAAGAGACATAATCAAAATATTCACAGCAGCAGCACTGTTTGAAATAGTCAAAAACTGAAAACAACCCAAATGTCTATATATTAGATTTATGCTCAGCAAGTCCACATCACTCCCAGCCTCCTCAGGGGAGGACACTTTCCCACCTGATGTTGGACATGGTCCTGTGGCTTGACTTGACTAAGGCAATGTGAGCAGAAGAGACAGTGTACCTTAAGAAGCATTGCTTATTTTTGTTTACCCTCTGAGAAATTAACACTTCTGCCAGCAGAACACGCGCTGGGTTCTTACTGGTTCCAGAGAAAAAAAAACATGGAAGAGATGTGGACCAAACCTGTAGCCTCACTCCAAACCCTGCTGAGATCATCACAGCTGTCCCAGCCAACCCACCAACATAAAAGAAATATTTGCTTATTGTTGAATATCACTGAGATTTTATAGTTATATATCCAATTTTTTTTTTTTTTTGAGACAGTCTCGCTCTGTCTCTCAGGTTGGAGTGCAGTGGTGTGATCTTGGCTTACTGCAACCTCTGCCTCCCAAGTTCAAGCAATTCTCCTGCCTCAGCCTCCTGAGTAGCTGGGATTACAGGCGCATGACACCACACCCAGCTAATTTTTATATATTTTTAGTAGAAACGGGGTTTCACCATGTTGGTCAGGCTGGTGGTCTCAAACTCCTGACCTCATGATCCGCCCACCTCGGCCTCCCAAAGTGCTGGGATTACAGGCGTGAGCCACCATGCCTGGCCTCCCATCTTTTTTAAAGGAAAATTCTGCTATATTCACAGCATGGAATACAATCTAAAATGAATGAACTATACTTATACACATCATGCAGCAAAAAGATGAATTTTTAAAACATTTATGTTGAAAAAATCAACAGGTCAATTACATACATATTATTCCACTTACATAAAGGCAAAACAGGCCAGGTATGGTAGCTCACACCTGTAATCCTAGGAAGGATTACAGGTGTGAGCTACCTGTAATCTTTGGAAGGCCAAGGCAGGCAGTCCATGAGGTCAGGAGATTGAAACCATCCTCGCCAAGATGGCGAAACCCCATCTCTACTAAAAATACAAAAATTAGCTGAGGGTGGTGGCAGGCATCTGTAATCCCAGCTACTCAAGAAACTGAGGCAGAATCCCTTGAACCAGTGAGTCAGAGGTTGCAGTGAGCTGAGATCGCGCCACTGCACTCCAGCCTGGTGATAGTGAGACTCCACGTCTTCCAAAAAAAAGGCAAAACAAGAAAAAAGGTATGTGGCCGGGCGCGGTGGCTCAAGCCTGTAATCCCAGCACTTTGGGAAGCCGAGGCAGGTGGATCACGAGATCAAGAGATCGAGACCATCCTGGTCAACATGGTGAAACCCCGTCTCTACTAAAAATACAAAAAATTAGCTGGGCATGGTGGCACGTGCCTGTAATCCCAGCTACTCAGGAGGCTGAGGCAGGAGAATTGCCAGAACCCAGGAGGCGGAGGTTGCGGTGAGCCAGGATCGCGCCATTGCACTCCAGCCTGGGTAATGAGCGAAACTCCGTCTCAAAAAAAAAAAAAAGAAAAAAGGTACGTTTAAAGATTAGAAAACTATAATCAATATAAATTTCATGATACTGCTTATCTCTGGGTGAGAGAGGAAGCTATGATTGGGAAGGGACAAAAAGAGAATTCTAAGGTACTGGTTGTATTTTTTTAACTTCGGTGGTATTTTTAAACACTTCATTTTAAAAATATATATATTATTTTGTATAGATGCTCCATTTCACAATAAAGAATATCTTTAAAAGAGTAGGAGTAAAGTGTGGTTCTGTTCTAGCTGGGAGGAAATCTATGTATATTAAAAACAAAAAACAAATGTGAATGTAACAACTGCCAAAGGGAAAACAGGAACAGTGAGTGCTCAGGAATTCACAGCAGGGTGGGCTCTATCCAGTGTCAATGGAAGCAGAGGTGCTAAGATAGTGGGATGTGATTTCAAGCTAAATACAGCAGATGTGATCTGGGTAGCTGATGATAACATAGGGAATTCCAGGCAGGTGATGGCCAGGTATCAGGTGAGAGCACCTGTGTGCTTGACCAGGTATCCTCCATTAGAGGCAAAGAGGAGGAAGCTTTGAGTAGGGAAAGAAAAGGAAAATAAGACAGAACCTCAGGTATTATTGGGCTCAAGTGTCAGATTTCAATAGATTTATACTATAGGCAACCAAGGTATTTGAGCATGATATACTGATCAAAATAACACCAACTCTTAAAGTTTATTAGGGAAAAAAAAAGTTAGGGACTGGTTAAAAAGCTATCATCAGAGTTTACTATATTTGGAGACCAAACTCTTTAAGGACATGATTGGGAATAATATTTCTACAAAATTTTACTAAGGCAGGACTGCCTGCCTTGGCCTCCCAAAGTGCTAGGATTACAGGTGTGAGCCACGATACCTGGCCTGGTTTGCCTTTATGTAAGTGGAATAATATGTATGTAATTGACCCATTGATTTTTTCAACATAAATGTTTTAAAAATTCATCTTTTTGCTGGATGATGTGTATAAGTGTAGTTCATTCATTGTTAATTCAGTGTTAATTGAGACTATGAGAGACTGAGGAGAGATGCCCAAGGTCACACAGCTATTAAGTGGCAGAGATGGGATTTGTCATGGTTTTGCCTCTCTGCCGCTGCTCCTAAAAGCATGCAAGAAAAATATACAGTCTATTTGTAAACCTCCTTCCTCTTAAGGTTAATTGATCATCCCATGGTTTGTTTCTTCTGAAAAATAAAGAGGATATTTGATATCCCCATGCTTACTCTTTATATGTACACATAGTATATCTAATACACACAAAACTCTTGCTCTATTTAATCCTTAAAAGGATAAAAATAATAATGCCCAAATCTGTGCACAGATAAAGCTATCAATTAAACAAGCAACTGTTATGCATATGGCACTATGCTCAGTGTGTGGCCCCAAGAGGCTTTTGTTCAAACAGGAAGATGGGTCATCTACATAAAAATAAGGTGACAAGTTGGGGCTATCAGAGCAGTACTGACATTAAGGGCTACTGAAATTCCAAAGCAATGACTGCAGGTAGGATTTTCAGAGGTGGCTTTGTGCAGGAAGTGGGGGCAGGGATAATGCATCCGAACAATGGGCAAGAGTAAGATGGTGGGGGCGGGGTGGGGTGGGAACCCATCCAAGAGATCTGATACCTGTGGGCAGAGTGGAGGGAAGGCATTGCCCCATCCTAGCAATACAAACTCATGAGCCTAAGACTAAAATACAGCACACAGGAATAAGGTATTCCTTCCACCTTCTCAGACATTTACCCCTCCTGACTCAACTTCCCTGCCTGGAGCTACAGCACGTGTTTAGATCCTCTTGTATTAACTGGTTGATCCTCTTTGTTAACTGACTGCTAAGCTTCAGCCCATGATTTGCTTAGACTTAATATAAACGTCAGGCCGGGTGCGGTGGCTCACACCTGCAATCCCAGCACTTTGGGAGGCCGAGGCGGGTGGATCACGAGGTCAAGAGATCGAGACCATCCTGGTCAACATGGTGAAACCCCGTCTCTACTAAAAATACAAAAAATTAGCTGGGCACGGTGGCACATGCCTGTAATCCCAGCTACTCAGGAGGCTGAGGCAGGAGAATTGCCTGAACCCAGGAGGTGGAGGTTGCGGTGAGCCAAGATCGCGCCATTGCACTCCAGCCTAGTTAACAAGAGCGAAACTCCATCTCAGTAAATGTCAAACACAGGCATAACATGACAGTAATACTAATTTTAAAAAAAGTTAAAATATGAATATAGTGTATTCTTTTCTAACCTGCTCTCATGACAGTTCACTAATGATTATTATAGTACTAACAAGAGCAGTAATAATAGTAATATTACTGCTCTTGTTAGTACTATACTCATTATAAGTATATGAAGTATTTATATGTCGCAGGCATTGGTTAGCATTTGCTTCGTTTACTCAGTTAACCTCCAAAATGACAATGTGAGGAAACCAAGGCATGAAGAAGTTAAATAACTTGTCCAGGATCCCATAGGTGGTGAGTGACAAGGCTGGGATTCCATCCAGGCAGTCTGACTCCAGAGCCAAGGCTCTTAGCCATGACTAGGCTGCTATTGTAAGACACTCTCAGAATTATAAGGGCATTGTCTGAGAGTGACATTTGTTAATTTATGGATTAACTCCTGCCTATGGACAATTAATCTGAAAGTGAAAAAGGTATGCCTAAGAATCCTGGCAATCCCCCAAGTATAGTTAAGGACCTAGCAACAGAAAGTAACCAATAGGAAAGCATGTTATAAAGTAAGCAACTTAGCATTGAAGAAGACTGAAGAAAGACTTTCAAGAAGGATGCAGTTTGCATAGAGGTTA